TCAATGCCCTTAGTAGGAAATCCATTAGCGATGTAGCTTATATAGCCATCCGGGAATGGGAAATGTTGGATGCACTTGGTGAGTTTGATTTGCTTTTGGGTGAATCCGTTGAGGCTGCGGCCTTGTTTTCTGTTGTTGTGCAGCCTACACTTGTGACTCGAGTGCTAGAGGTACAGAGAGGTGACCTTGAGGTAGAATCCCTCCGAGAGAAGATCTCTAGTGGGAAGGCTGAGAAGGGTTTGACGGTGTATCCCGACCAGAGTGTGAGATACCGAGACCGTATGTTTGTGTCAGAGTCTTGCCGAGAGGAGGTACTCTGAGAGTTTCACCATTTACGCCTTGTGGTGCATCCGGGAGGCACTAAGATGTATCGAGGTTTGGGTCGCCAGTTTTGGTGGCGAGGTATGAAGAAGGATGTGGCACTTTTCGTATCTAAGTGCCTTACTTGTCAGCAAGTGAAGGCCGAGCATCAGAGGCCAACAGGTTTGTTACAACCCTTGCTTATTGCCGAGTGGAAATGGGAGCATGTCACTATGGACTTCATTGTAGGTCTTCCGAGGACTCAGCGGGGTAGTGGTGCTATTTGGGTGGTTGTAGACCGGTTGACTAAGTCAGCGCACTTTATCCTTATGCGCGTGAGAGATTCAGTAGATCATCTTGCCGTTTTATATATTCGGGACATAGTGAGGTTGCATGGGGTCCTAGTGTCGATCGTTTCAGATAGAGATCCTCGTTTTGCTGGTAGGTTGTGGCAGAGTTTGCAGAGTGTCTTGGGCACTAGATTGACCTTTAGCACGGTTTATCATCCTCAGACTGACAGGTAGTCTAAGCGTACTATTAAGATCCTTGAGGATATGCTTCAAGGTTGTGTCTTTGACTTTAGTGGGTCGTGGGAGAGGCACTTGCCTTTGGTGGAGTTTGCCTGCAACAATAGTTTTCAGTCGAGTATCAGTATGGCACCGTTTGAGGCCTTGTATGGTCGACCTTGTAGGTCTCCGGTTTGTTGGGCCAAGGTGGGTGATGCACCTTTGTTGGGCCCGGAGTTGGTGAGGGAAATGACGGAGAAAGTTGAGCTTATTCGTAGAAGGCTTGTTACAGCCCAGAGTCGCCAAAAGATTTATGCTGACCGTAGGAGGAGGCCTTTGGCATTTGAGACGGGTGATCACGTCTTTCTGAAAATATCACCTAGGCGGGGTTTGATGAGGTTTGGGAAGAGTGAGAAGTTGTCTTCTCGGATTCTTGGTCCCTTTGAGATCCTTGAGAGGATTGGGGAGGTTGCATACTGTTTAGCTTTGCCGCCACAGTTGTCTGGGGTGCATGACGTGTTTCATGTTCGTATGCTTCGGAAGTACGAGCCGGATTTATCGCATGTATTGGATTGGACTGACTTAGAGGTAGACGAGGATATCTCATATGAGGAGAGACCGGTTTGGGTTTTGGATAGGCAGGAGCATGTCTTGCTAGGCAAGACCATTCCTTTGGTAAAGGTTTTGTGGAAACATCACGGAGTGGAGGAAGCCACTTGGGAACGTGAGTTGGAGGTCTGTGAAAAATATCCAGACATGTTCGTTAATGTGTAATCATGTATTGGGAATTTTGTAATATTGATGAACTTTAAGAGCATTGAATATGTCTTAAGTGTAAAACACTGTATATGTTTTGATTTATAGAAGTTTATTTTAACATTGTATATGTCAATGATGTTTCAGAAATGCAAATATACTGTTGGTATTGAAATTTGTTAAATTTCAAGGAATGCACATTGTTAATGCATGTTGTAGAATTATATATTGTGAGTTGCCCCTTGAGAAGGGATGGAATGACCGGTATTGGGTCAGGTTGTTGAATATTGAGTTGTAATACTATTGGGAATTGAGAAAAACATGTTTTTGAAAACTTGTATCTAATTTTGGGGATGAAATTCTTTAAGGGGGGGAGGTTATAGCGATCCCGGTTTTCCTTTCCTTTGTTTATTGTATTCCGGACTTGGTTCGTGAATGTGTTGATGTCGTATTCTCATTTCCATCCTTTACTCTTTGTATTTTAGTCTTGGGTTGTGTTGGGCAGGTCTGAAATAGGTTGGTTGTGTTTAGAAACTAAGGGTTGATGCCCAATTTTTGGCCTTCACGCTCGAGCGGGAGTTTTGCCACTCGAGCGAGCGCTTTGTTGTTGCTTCTCCGCTCTAGTGGGAGTTTGGACGCTCGAGCGTGAATATCCATCTCCCAGTATTTTTCTCTGCAGCTCATCGGACGCTCGAGCGTGAGTTCTGACGCTCAAGCGGGCTCTTTTGGTTTTGTTCCTCCGCTCGAGCGGGGAGTCTGACGCTCGAGCGGGGACCTTGGTCTGTAAAACTTCTGGAGGTGTGCATCCGGCGCTTGAGCGGCGCTTTTGACGCACGAGCGTGAGTCTGTGTCTGCCACTCGAGCGGGGCGTTCCACGCTCGAGCAGGGAGTGCAATATATCAGCCCGAAGTTCGACTTTTCGGATCACTTTTTCAACTCCTTTTCTCTCTCTTACTTTTCAAAACCTCCATTGGAGAGCACCCACTCTAAAACTCCAACTTCTCTCTAGGGTTTGATCTAGTAGGAGTGATCTTCTACCCTTGGGCCTTTGTAAAAAGTGTGGAGCTTGTTGAGGGCTACATTTTGATCCGAAAATATTGGGGTTTGGAGCACTTTCAAATTTCTTCATCTTCTCCTTTGAGCTCCGAATTTGAGGTAGGGATAACTACTCATTTTTATGGTCATTAACATAAACTATTGGTCATTTTGATGTAATGTTGAAGTTGGGTAATTTTGGGTGTTAGGGTTTCAAAATGAATAAAGAGGGGTTTTGCTATTTTGACTCATAAATGCGTATCTTGGGTTTTAAAATGATGGTATTGATGTTGTTGACGATATATGGGACCTTTGGGTCATTGTAAAGAAAAAGAAGGAGAAAGCCCTAAATTGTTGTATGAATTAATTTATATAATTAATTTGGGAATGTTATGGAAATATGGAATTGAGTTGGAAATAATGAAATAGGCTCATTATAAGAGGGAATGGTGGAGCTGGATTTATTAATCGTTCACTTGTGAAATTGTTGTCAAATTATCTGTTGATGCATTTATTATCTGTTTTGAAATAAATTGCTTTGGGCTATCAGTGGGGAATAGTCTTGAATGTTGTAGACCTTGCATGATGATTAGGTGAATTAAAACTAATCAATTGAATATGTCATTGAATATGACGGTTGAAAGAATACATTGAATTTATGTATTGATTGATTATGTATATAATTTGTGCTTATATACATTGTGTTGTGTGGGAGGAGATATGGGATGTACTCCACGGTTTCGGAGCAGATAGGGGATGGTCGCCTAAATTGGATATTATTTGGGGGGAGATAGAGGATGGACTCCATTGATATAGCAAATATGTGTATATATTGAAGTATTGATACAACGAATATGTGTATCTATTGTGAAGTGTGGAAGTGTTTTATGTGATATTGATACAGCAAATATGTGTATCTATTGTGAAGTATGGAAGTATTGTTGATATGAGCTGTGGTGTCATGGGAATTGTTTGGCCAGGTTCTGAGCCGTATTTATGAATTGAAAATCGGCTAAGTAAAGGAAAGAGGAATGAAACATGGACATATTTGTCATGTAATTGAAATGGGTTATGAATTGACTTATGTAGGTTAAACATTTATCAAATGCTAATGTTTTAGTTTTTGCTCATATTATGTTTAGCATATCTTTACTGGGCGTTGACTCACCCTATATGGGACATCATTTTCAAGTACAGGTGTTATGCCACCTCCAAGGACGTAGCTTAGGAGGCTTGAGGCTGCTAGACTCTTTTTGTTGCTTTTTTTTTGTTGTATTACATGTATATCAAGCCAAAGGCTTATTTTGTGTAGAGTTAGTACTCTCCCTTTTGTAACAAAGTGTTGACTTGGAAAGTTGTAAGCCTATAGGGCATTTACTTTTGTTGTCAACATTTAATACCTTTTGTAAGAATACTCTGATGATTGCAATATGAAATCTCTTTTCTTTATCGTGAATGTATGATATTATGGGTTTATTTTGAGGACGTGACAGTGGTTAAAGGTAGGGAAATGAAAGAAGATAATGAGGTGGCAGAGGCTAGTTCCATGTTTGGTGTTGAGATTGCTAGTACTCATGATCCTACGGACACAGTGGTTGAGGAGACACTCTGTGATGGAGGCGCTACCAGAAGAGGAGGAGTGTGTGTTGGGATGTCTGTCCATTTTTCAAAAAGTGATGATGAGAGGGAAAAGTGTGCTGAACAAGTCTTCACACCTGGATTCGTACATTGCGTTAATGAACCTAGTGCTGGAGGAGGACCAGGCATCAACTTGGAAGTGGATTTGGTCCACTTTGCAAAGCAGCATGAAGTTACTGGATCTCCTTGCAGGCCCATTCAGCCTATTGTTGTAAGCCCAGAGGTCACAGGCATAGTACCTATATCTCATTCTGTGTTGCACAATTCTGGGCCTTTATGTAACATTGGCTCGTATAAGAAGAGTATTCTATCTCGTTCCCAGACAGTCGAAGATTCTATTTTTGCCTCCATTACAGACCAGCAGCGCACCGAGAGGAAGAAAGGAAAGATGAAGACCCAGATTGAGGGTTCACTAGCTTTGCTAGGATCCATGCGTACACAAAAAATGCAGCCAAAAAGCACTATGCTAAATCTATTATCTTTAGGACTGCTGCTAAAGCTTTAGCTCAGTCTTCTGTAGGTGAATCATCTCTGAGGAATCAGGTTCTTTCTGAAGCTGCAACAATTATTCAATTGGGGAAAACACTTGGCATCGATTATCATGGGAAAGAAGACATTGTGCTCAACAAAATCACGGACTTAGAATTTAAAGACAAAGAGAGAATTGGCAAGGAGGGAACGGCCCAATAGTAAAGGTCAGAAGAAGGGTCTTTTGAGTGTATCAATTGGTTTATAATGAAATTACTATCTTGGAATATCAGGGTTATGGGTAAAAAAGAGAAGCAGGGCAGAATCAAGAGTCTCCTCAAGGATAGAAACATAGATATTGTTTGTTTTCAAGAAACAAAAAGGGCAGTTATATCTGATGTTGATGCTAGAAGGCTATGGGGAAGTAAAAACATGGAATTTATGTCCGTAGATCCTGAAGGAATTGCCGGAGGCCTTTTATGTATCTGGGATCCTGCTGTCTTTACACTCTCTGGCTGTTGCTGCCATAGGAGGTATATCTTACTCTCAGGTTCATTATTCAATTCCTATAATTGTGTTTTGCTCAACATTCATGCACCTAATGATGTTGGTGTAGAGCTTCCTTTTGGGATAATATTTTAAAGCTTAAGACTTCTTTCCCCAATCCTTGGTGCATGGCTGGAGACTTCAATGAAATTGGACACATCAATGAAAGAGTTGGTTGCTCTAGGAGGGATAGGGGAATGAAACACCTCAATGATTTCATTGGTAATAGTGAGCTTCATGATCTACCACTTCATGGAAGGAAATACACTTGGTGCAATGCCCATGAATCAGAGAAATGGAGCAGAATTGATAGAGTCTTGCTAAGCTCTGAATGGCTGATTAATTTCCCAATGAAATTATGGGGATTACCTAGGTTAATTTCAGATCACTGCCCATTATTAATGATGGAAGATGTTAGAGATTGGGGGCCAAAGCCTTTCAAGTTCCTAAATGCGTGGACTCTTCACCCCAGCTTTTCTCAGCTATTTGTCTCATCATGGTTAGGTAACACTATTGCTGGTTGGTCTGGTTATATTCTTTCCCAAAGCTAAAGCATCTGAAAATAATGTTAAAATCTTGGAACATTAAAGTGTTTGGTAATATTGCTACTAAAATCAAGTCTTCAGAGGAAGAGCTACATGCTCTGGATATCACTGCAGAGGAAAGAACATTGATTGCTTCAGAAAAGGCAAAAAGAAGGGAGGTTAAAGGTGAGCTATGGAAACTCTACAGAATGGTTGAATGGATTTGGCATCAAAAATCCAGATTGAATTGGTCTCTCAACGGGGGTAAAAATAGTAGATTTTTTCATGTTGTTACAAGTTCTCGGCAGAGTAGAAATCTAATCAATTCTATTTTAGTAAATGGAGTGTCCGTTGAGGACCCTAGTGGAGTTAGGCAACAAATTTTACTACACTTTAAGGCTCAATTCTCAGAATCATGGGTTAAGAGGCCTTCTTTGGAAGGGGTGTTCAATACCATTGAGCCAACTTATGTTACTCAACATCTGGTAGCTGAGTTCAGTGCAGCTGAGGTATTAGCAGCAATCAAAGATTGTAACAATAACAAAGCTCCAGGCCCTGATAGGTTCAACTTACTGTGTTATCAGAAATTCTGGAAGGTTATGAAGCTGGACATAATGCAATTTTTCAAGGAGTTTCACTCTAACAACAGGCTTGCATATGGCATTAATAGCTCATTTATTACACTTATTCCCAAGTTGGATAATCCTATTGGTCTATCGAATTATAGACCTATTAGTCTCGTGGGATCTATTTACAAAATCTTGGCCAAAGTCTTATCATCCAGGTTGAAATCAGTGCTTCCCTTAATCATTGGTGAAACTCAGACAACATTCTTGGGAGGGAGAAATATTCTTGATGGAGTGTTTATTGCTAATGAAGTGGTGGATGGTTGGAAGAAGAACAAAATGTAAGGGTTGATTCTCAAATAGGATTTCGAGAAAGCTTTTGATTCTGTCAACTGAGAATTCTTATTTTCTTTGATGAAGAGCTTTGGCCTGGGGGATAAATGGATCTCTTGGATGAGGACTTGTGTCACTTCAGCAAGAATCTCAATTCTAGTGAATGGATCACCTACCGAGGAATTTTCACCCCATAGGGGCCTCAGACAAGGCGACCCGCTTTCACCATTCCTCTTCAACATAGTGGCAGAAGGCCTTAACATTCTTTTAGTCAGAGCCCTTAATCTTGGAATCCTTAAAAGGGTGGTTGTTGGGTCAAACAATGTCCTTATCTCACATTTGCAATTTGCCGATGACTCAATTCTCTTTTGCGAAGCTGATTGGGATCAATTGGTATCCATCAAAAGAGTTCTCAGATGCTTTGAAGTATTATCCGGTCTCAAAATTAACTACCATAAGAGTGTTGTGCGTGGTGTTGGTGTGGCTGATGATTGTACAACCACTTTTGCCTCTCTTCTCAATTGTAAGGTGCAAAGTCTCCCATTAAAATTTCTGGGGCTGCCTCTAGGAGCAAACCTTGGCAGAAAATCTACCTGGAAGCCTGTTATTGATAAAATTAAGTCCAGATTGTCAAGATGGAAGAGAAAATTGTTGTCCTTTGCTGGTAGATTAACTTTGATAAAGTCTACTCTTTCTAGCCTACCTGTTTACTTTCTTTCTCTGTTTAAAATGTCTGAAGGAGTGGCTAAAGATATAGAAAGGTTAGAGGCTTCGTTCTTATGGGGTGGTAGTGGTCTTAAAAGAAAAGTTCATTTAGTGAAATGGGAGGAGGTTATAAAGAGAATTGATCAAGGGGGATTAGGCATTAGAAGGATTAGAGATGTTAATGTGTGTCTTCTTCTCAAATGGTGGTGGAAATTTGGAAACCATAACAAAGCACTCTGTAGGTCAGTGGTGTGCAACAAATATAAAATCAATGAATCCTGTTGGCTTTCTCCTTTGAGCCCTTCCTATAAGCATTCTAGATTGTGGAGTGACATTCTATCAATTGGGACTCTTAATAGACCCATTTTTAACTTCTTTGTGGACAACTGTACTATCAAGGTTGGGAATGGTACTAGAATTAGATTCTGGCTTGACAGATGGTGCAGTGGCTTGTGTCTGAAATCTTCCGTTCCCATTCTTTTTAATCTGTCATCTGATAAGGAAGGCTTTCTCCATCATTATTTTGTAAGGAAATCAAGTCCATTTGATTGGAACCTTCCACATAGAAGAGAGCTCTATTCATGGGAATTGCCTGAAGAAGTGAGATTGAATGCTCTGTTATCCACTACTCCAACTTTGTGTTTGGACTGTGAAGATTGTCAAGTCTGGTGCAATGATTCGGGGTCTGGTTTTTTTGTTTCTGCTCTATATTCCCACAGTTCATCTCTTCTTGGCCCTCACCTTAAGATAAGAAAATGTGTTTGGAATCCGTTATTGCCCCCCCAGGGTCTCTTTTTTTTCTTGGCTTGCCTGAAAAAATAGGATCAAATGTTCAGATTTTCTGCTCAAGATTGGTATTCTGGACAGCAATGCATCACCTCTCTGTCACTTTTGCAGCTCGCAGTTAGAAACTGCTTCACATGTCTTGCTGCATTGTCACTTTTCTTGGTCAATCTGGTCTGCTGTTGTTGAGGAATGGGGACTCCATTGGTGTATTCCTAATTCAGTAGATGGTCTGCTTTCTTGGTGGATAAGTGGGAAATTTCATAAGCTTGACAGATTAATTTGGAGGGCAATCCCATTAATTGTACTTTGGTCTATTTGGAAACTCAGAAATGAATGTGTGTTTTCTAATGCACAACCCATCAATTCAGGTCTTCTCGAACTCATCAAATTCAGATTTGCTGTTTGGCTTAAAGCTTCCATTAAGGATTTCCCCTACTCAGTTGATGATCTTCTTTTCAACTCGAGGCAAATCAGTGGTGGAAATTAGTGTTTTGAAATCCGTTTTACATATATCTGGGATGAATTATGCTTATTCTATTCTAATCTGCATTAGCTATAAGCTGCTGCATTGTCTGTCTGCAGTTCCTATCTGCTCTAATCTGCTGCTTTGGGCTGAAATAGGCTTGTTCTGTTGGTTCTGCTTCGGGTGCAATCTTGGTAGCAGTGTCTTGGAAGTAAATCTTGGTTCTGCTTCGGTTGTGCATTGCAGTGGTAAACTGTAGTAATTTGGTTTCAGTTGTTTTGCTGAAGTTTCTTTTGGTCTTCTGTAGTTTCACTAGTTTTTTGGCAGTGTTCTGTTCTTAGCAGTAGTTGGTCTGCTGCAGTGTTTTTTGTTGGTCTGCTGCAGTGTTTTTGTTTTCTATTTTCTTTTTTTGTTGGTCTCTCACCAACTAGGAGGTTTGAGCTTCATCTAGCTCCTAGCTCCTCTTTATTGATGTTCGCTTTCAATGTACTTTGTTCGTGCTTCATCAATAAAGTTTTTCTTTGCCGATCAAGAAAAAAAAGAGAGTTAAGGCTATGAGACTCATTTTGCACTAATTGATGATGGTTGTAAGTGCAAGTGATCACCATATGTCCCTGTCGTAAATACAGAAAACATAACGCATTTTCGCTCGAGTATGCCTTTCTTATAAGCTTCTAACCATAGCTGCCCTCTCCAACTGGGTAGATCCTCCAACTAGATGAATGTGAGTGCCCTTTAAATTGATTGAGGCTAATCCTGATCCTCGTGGTCGGTCCCATCCTTCATGTGTTCAGACTAGCCCCATGACCGATAATTTTGTGGGCTTGGGTCCTCTTGAATTTTTACTATAGCCGTATTTATATTCATGAACAAACAAATTGTAGATAAATATGGTCATTGTTGTTCATGTCCATTCTGTTAAGAGGTGAGCCAAGGGAGGGGGAGGAGAAAAAAAAGAGTTTTATTTTATTTTTATTTATTCTAAAGCTTCATTTGAGAGTTAGTAAAAAAAAAAAATTATTGGTTAAAATAAGCCTAGAAAAACTAATTTGTTTGATGTATTTCTAACTTTTCAGATTATCCTAATGTTTTCCAAAATGATCAAAGTGTTTAGCTTTATCAAATGAGATAACATATTTTTAATAATTATTTTTTAATAAATAAATTGACAGTTTAGGCACATCAAACAAAACCTAAATCTTTATGAGAGGGGAATTTGTGTCGAGATATCGGGTCGGGCAAAATCAGACCTTTATTGTTGACCAGGCTATGGATTGAAGGGCCACATGGTTTGGTCCATGCAGAGGTCTAGCCGGTCAAACGTGTTGCATGGTTTGATCGGCCAGATTTGGTCTGGGTTGTTCTAGTGGGTCGGCCTAAGCCTCAGTAGGCCTTAGGCTGAGATAAGGCTGGTTTAGTTGTCTCCAATTAATGTGGCGATCAAGATTGAACCAAGCTATCTTTGTTTTACTGGCTGACTATAATTGTTCACATGGTGAGGTTGAGCCAGTTTGAGCATCGCATAACGTCAACATGGTCGCGCGCCGCACTGGCTTTGTGTGGAATTTCATGTAGCTCGATTAGTAGAAGACCCAACAAGAAAAATGTAGTTCGTCTGCCCGGTTGGAAGCCATGCAACGAGTTATGTCATCTCAGTTGGTTTGTAGTGAGGATGGTGTTAAAGGATAGGCAACTCCTTTACGAATGTGATTCCTAAGAAGACTCTTCGAAGAGGAATTAAAGTCCTATTAGGATTTTGCCATGCAAAATTTATAAAAGCTCAGACCTAAGCTAAATCCACGTATTACAATATTAGTATTCAAATTCATAGAGCTTTTCCTCCTTGTCTTATTTGCTGACTTAGGCATTAGAGGGGTTTCCTGCACACACCATTAGCTAGATCACGTTTGTGAGTCCAGGTTACATGGCGATGTTTGGAGGAACGTGAGTTTGATGAATGAAATTATACAAGTGACGACTATTTCGTGCTTGTACAATTGGCCGCGTCTATAGGAATAAGCACATAACAAACCTTTTGATTGAGTTCTCTCCAATGATTTTAATGGCAGACAATGAGGATTTTCCTATTTTTTCCATCGATAGCTAAAAGCTGGAGGCCAATAGGAGGCACGAAGATTTGCCTTCTACTCTTCCCATGGTTGATTTGGACCCAT